ATGAAGTGAATGAATGAATGGGTAAGTGAATGAATGAATGAATGAGTAAATGAATGAATGGGTGGATGGGTAAGTGAATGAATGAAGTGAATGAATGAATGGGTAAGTGAATGAATGAATGAATGAGTAAATGAATGAATGGGTGGATGGGTAAGTGAATGAATGAAGTGAATGAATGAATGAATGAAGTGAATGAATGAATGAATGAATGAATGAATGAGTGAATGAATGGGTGGATGGGTAAGTGAATGAATGAAGTGAATGAATGAATGAATGAGTAAATGAATGGGTGGATGGGTGGGTGGGTAAGTGAATGAATGAATGAGTAAATGAATGAATGTGTGGATGGTTGGGTAAGTGAATGAATGAAGTGAATGAATGAATGAGTAAATAAATGAATGGGTAAGTGAATGAATGAATGAGTAAATAAATGAATGGGTGGATGGATGGATAAAGTGAATGAATGAATGAAGCTGGAAGTCTCCTGGAGCAGCCGCTGTGCTTGGAATCCCTCAGAACCTGCTGAATCTGGGGGTGACCAAGCATGTGCGGCTGGACCCCCCCTGCATCAACACCACCGGCCTCACCCGCTACCTCAATGACCCCCAAGTCCGCCGAGCGCTGCACATTCAGGACGATGCCCCCGCGTGGGAGATCTGCAGGTGAGGGGGGAGCACAGGGCAGCTCCTGGTGCATGGGGGAGGGGGGCTTCTGCAGGCCACCCCCTAATCGAGGCCCTTTTCGCAGCTTTAACGTCAGCCGTGGCTACAAGCGTCTCTACTCCAAGATGAACGACCAGTACCTGAAGCTGCTCAGCACTGGGGTGAGTTGCTGGGGTCAGCAGTGGGGTTGCTGGGTGGGGGAAGGGAGAGGGGATGGGGATGACAACGTTCCTTTTTACCTGCCCCCACCCCCACCACCCCCAGTGGAGGGGAAACCAGGCTGGCCCTTCCTCCAGGCGTTTGTAATCCTGGGCGGCTTCTAGAATAGGATAGAGCTGGGACCCTGGAGGTCTTCTAGTCCAGCCCTCAAGCAGGAGCTCTCATTCCACTTCAGACAAGTGGCTGTCCAGTCTCCCCTTAAAAACCTCCAGCGATGGAGTGATTTCTGGTGGCAAGCTGTTCCGCTGGTTGGTTGTTGTAATTGTGAGGGAGTTTCTCCTTAGTTTCGGTTCCCCAGCCCTGCCCTCAGACGCTTTGGAGAAGAGGCCGGGCCTCCTCTTTGTGATAGCTCTTCCAACACTGGGAGGCTGCCCCCCTTGTGTCCCCCCCTCCCCCCGGTCCTTCTTTTCCTTAGGCTGGCCACGCCCAAATCCTTCCGCCGCTCTTCCTGTGGTTTTCTCTCCAGGCCTTGGATCCTCTCAGCTGCTCTTCACTTCCTCCTTTTCCCAAAGTCCCAACATCTTTTTTGTGATTGACCAAAATCGGCTGCATTTGTGGGGCCAAGGTGGGGCCTCAGGAGGGTTTTATGAAGCAGCACTAACTCCTCCCCCCTTCCCCGGTCTCCCCTGCAGAAATACCGTGTCCTGCTCTACAACGGGGACGTCGACATGGCCTGCAACTTCCTGGGGGACGAATGGTTCGTGGAGTCCCTGCAGCAGAAGGTGGGCTGAGCTGGGGAGGCTCTTGAAGGAAAGCCCCCCCCCCTCTGCACCCCTGGTTCCAGGCAGCCCCTGCTGGCCTCCCCTGCGCTGTGTCCTGGGCCCCTCGGGTCCACCTCCTCCTGGTAGTCCTCGACTTACGACCACAATTGAGCCCCAATTTTCTGTCGCTAAGCAAGGCAGTTGTTAAGTGAGGTTTGGCCCATTTTATGCCGTCCTTGCCACGGTCGTTAAGTGAATCGATGCAGTTGTTAAGCTGCTACCTGCCTTCCCCATGGACTCTGGTCGTCAGAAGCCAGGCCATAAATAGGACCCAGTTGCTGAGTGTCCAAATTTTGACCACATAACCACGGGGGATGCTGCAACGGTCATAAGTGTGAAAAGCAGTCACACTTTTTTCAGTGCTCTTGCAATTTTTGAATGGTCACTAAATGAACTGTTGCACGTCGAGGACTACCTGTGTGTAGAGCCCCCTTGCAGGGAGACGGGCAGCGTAGATGCTTAATAAATGATGCATAAACAGATTCTCCACCCGGAAGGCTCCTCCCCACTCTGGGTCGGGGGATGCGTGGAAGGTGGTGGGGCTCAGGGATTGTGGGGGGCACAGCCTCCAGCGATGGGGTTTCCTCGCCTGACTCCTCCCGTGACCCTCCCCATCGGGACAGGCTGGGTGCTGCCTGCCCCTCATCCCGCTTCCCCTCCGGAAGCCCAGAGACCCTCACGGCTGGTCCTCTTGCTGGCAGGTGGAGGTGGCCCGGAGAGCCTGGATCTTCACGGATGAGGACGGCCAGGATCAGATCGGGGGCTTCGTGAAGGAGTTCGCCAACATTGCCTTCCTCACCGTCAAGGTAAGAGTGGGGAGGGGTCTGGCGGGAGCCAAGCTCGCCCTCCCCTCCCAGAGTCTCAGCCGTCCCATTGGAACTCCTGGGATGTTATCACTTGACTGATAATCCCACAGAGGCACAGTTGTAGCAAAGCCAGTTCTGAAGTTTTCGCGCGAAAACCAGTGTAGGTGAAACCCCCTTTTTCCCCCACCGGACCTCCTTATGGTCCATTGCCCACCAGTCAATTGCCTTCATTTTGTTTTGGGAACAATCTGAGCCCCTCCCCAGCATTTGACCTTGGGGTGTTGGGACTCTCCCAGGCTACAGACGGCTCCCTTGCATTCCCCAATCCCCCCCCCCCGGCCAAGTCCTCCCATGCATCCCATTGCTTTCCCTGCCCCCTCCCAACCGTTTCTGGCTGCAAGGAGGGGGAGGGGTGCGTGGCGAGTCAGCCGTGACGCTCCCATCGCTTCTTCGTCTCTCCCTTCCGCAGGGTGCCGGCCACATGGTGCCCACTGACCAGGCACGGGCGGCCTTCCACATGATACAGCGGTTCCTCACCCGGCAGCCCTTCTGAGCCCAGGAACAGCACTTTCCTGGGGAGACCGGCCCCCTCCCGCTGCGGCGCTCCTGACCGGCCTTTGGTAGACGCCTGGAGGGTCTCGGGCCCTGGGTGGGTCCTCTGGCAGGGCCCGGTCTCCCCTCCACCCTTCTCTGCACATTTGCACTGTCCTCAGGGAGGAAGCAGGTCCTCTCGCTGCCCTCCCCCGGGGGTGGGGGGGGGTGGGGGGCCATTTCTCAGCCTTGTCCTGGCTGCTCTTGGAGGAGGAAGTGGAGGTCACGAGCAGCCGCCTTCTCCTTTCTGGTCCAAGCAAGCGATTAAACGGTTATTTTTCTAATGGAAAAGGAGCGGAGTGATTTGTGGGGAAAGGGCTGCCTTGGAGCTGGGTCTGGGGGCTGAGGGCCTTCCTGAAGCAGAGCCGGAGGCTTGGAAGAAGAGACCGGACAGCCCTGTGGCCAGAATGGTCTCTATGGTAAAAGTCTCAGCCTTGTGGGCTCCCAGCTGTGCTGGCTGGAGGATTCTGGGAATTGCAGTCCGCAAGTCTTAAAAGTGCCAAAATTGGGCGCCCCTGGTCTCAGATCTCCCGCTTGAACGAGGGTTGGACTAGAAGGCCTCCAAGGTCCCTCCCAACCCTCTTCTGCTGTGATTGTACTCTTTCCGTCCTTCCCCCCCCCTCCAGCCCTGCCCTCTGGGCTGCCCCAGAATCCGCTGGTGGGGAGGGACAGCAGCCGGGAGGCGTTTTCTGCAGAGCTGAGCATCTCCGGGAGGCAGCAGCAGCAGCGGTGCCAACCTCTGGGACCTGCAGCTCCTGCACCCAGGGTTCTGCAGCAGCCTGCCCCTCCCGAAAGAGGGGGGGGTGCCCAGGCAGCTGCAGCAGGGAGGGGAGCCTTCGCTCTGTGTGCCCCACCCACCCGCCAGCTGCCTCTCCCTAAATTAAGCCCTGGAGACGGGGAGGGGGCTGGACTGCAGCCGAGCTGTGGCAACGGTTCAGGGCTCCCTTTAGGGCTGAGGAAGGAGTGAGTCGCTCCAGATTTTGGCCTGCTGCTGTCAGGTGAACCCCCAAACTAGGCGGGAGAAGAGCTTGTGCCAGGGTGGAGCCTGGTTCAGTCCGAGAGCAGTTTGGGCTCTCTGAGCAAATTCCCTGACTTGGGGGGTAGGGAAGGTGAGCTCAGCACCCCCCAGGCTCCTGAGCCCAGGAAGGGCCGAGGCCTTTTGGCTTGAGACCCAGAGGTGGTGCAGGTGGTGGTGCACTGATCCTCTTGCCCAGCCTGGATGGACAACCAAGACTTTGGCTCGATCCGCATTTGCTGGGCAGGAGGGGGTGGGCTACGGTGGATGTGGGGTGCTCCCCTTTGCTGGGGAGGGGGCAGCTCAAAGCCCTGGGGGGAGGGTGTTGGCCGAGAGCGGCCTCTGAGTCCACGGTGTGGCCCACCAGCGGTCAGCAGAGCTGATTCGGACAGCGGGGAGGTTGGGGAGGAAGACGGGCCAGTCCTGGAGTCTGGGGAGGCCCGGACGAGGGCTCCGTGTCGGAGGCAGAGAGGGGGCCAGGGCCGTCTGCCGGTTACCAGCTGCCTTCAGAGGCAGACAAAGAGCCTCTTCCCAATGTGGCCTGGGCAGGCCCGCCTGGCAGGGCTGTTGTAGGGATGGGAGAGGAGCCCTCCCCACCGGCAGCCCCTCCCTTAAGACAGGAGCCAGAGTCGGGCAGCGAAGCTCTTTATTCAGCTGCCCCAGAGGCTTACAAGGACCTTCGTCTCCGGCAGGGTGAGGTTGGGGCCAGGGGAGGGACGGGATCCGGGGCCCTAGGCAGCCCTGGAGGCCAGAGAAGGGCCCGGTGTGGCCCGGAGCTTCTCGATGACCTCTCGCAGCCCTTTGCTGAAGTGCAGGTCTGCTCCGACGGTGAGGTAGCCCTGGGGGGGAGGCAAGGAGGAGGGTGGGGGGCTTGTGGGGCAGAGCCTCCCAGCGCCAGGGGTCCCGGTGGGAGGGGTCCTACTTACCAAGTGGCTCCTGATGGTCTCCTTGGTGAAGTCCATGCCTTCGGGGAGGGGGATCCGGACCCCTTTCATGGTCTTCTCTGAAAGGGAGAGGAGGAGGGAGGGGCTTCGCTGGCCTGGCCAAATGGCTGAATCCTCAGGGCAAGGGGGCGTCACCCGGCCACTCTTCTGCAGCCCACCCACCCAAAGGCCAAGGATCCGGCTCCCTGCCCCCACAGAGCTGCCCCACATGACCCCCCCCCCCGTGCCTACCGTTGATGAAGGGCATGATGGTCATTTGCAGGAGGGTCTTCAGGGGCGATTGCAGCGGGAGGAGCTGGAGGGGGGAGAGGGGGAGGGGTTTGGCTGGGGCGGGATAAGCACTGGGAACCCCCTCCCCATCAGTCAGGAGGGCCTGGGCCCCTGACTCTGCCCCTCCCTCACCTGACCCCAAAGTTAGACTTACTGCCAAGGATTCAAGGGCTGACTGGTTGGAGTAGATCCGGAACCTGAATGGGGGGAAGAGGAGGGGGGAGCGGTAGAAGTGCTACCAAATTGAGGCCACTGGTCATCCCCCCCCCCCGCACACACGGGCACCCCAGGGACCCCCAGCTCTACCTTCGGAGGTCCAGCTGCACCCGAAGAGCCTTGCCGTGAAGGACCACCTTGGCACTTAAGCGGGATTCCTGCGGGGGGGAGAGGCCACAATGGGGGGGGCACCTGGAGCATGGCCTGCAGACCCCTCCCTCAGCTCTGCCCCCCCCCCCAATCAGAACTTGCGGATCCCAGGAGCAGCCCAGGAGGAAGGCAGCCTCTTGCTCAAGGCCTGCAGCCATCAGGAGGATGAAAACCCCTCCCTAGGGCAGGGGGGGGGTCCCTGGGGGGGGCTCACCATCGTCAGGCTGGAAAGCAGAACGGGGGGCTGGTTCAGGGGGGCCAGGAAGATGTTGAGCAGGGCGGAGACGGAGACAGAGGTGCCAGAGGTCCGGATGGTGCAGCGGGGGGCTTCGGTCACCTGCAGCTTTAAGGTCAGGGGTGCGTCCACCACTTCGGGGTTCTGGGGGGAGGACAGAGGGTCAGCCGGGGGGGGGGCAAGCGGGCCCTGCTGGGTTTCTCTGGAGAAGAAGTCTGGCTAAAAAGGAACCGGAAACGGCCTTGTGGCTTTTGGCTCCCTCTTAATAAGGAATTGAAAATAAAACATCTGGTTTTGACTCCCACATTTGGGAGGGGGACAGAGGGGGGGGCTTCTTCAGAGGACTGTAAAGGGGAAGCGGATGAAGATAAATCGGGGTTGTAAGATGCAAAACTGGCAAGATTTAGCACAGAAATCTGGAGAGAAGTTTATGAGACTCAAAAGTGCAGAGAAGAGCAACCAGGATGATGACTGGAGGCTCAACCGTACGATGGACGGTTGCAGAAAGTGGGCCTGGCTAGTCTAGGGAAGAGAAGGACCAGGGGAGACGAGAACAATCTTCCAATATTTGAGGGGCTGCCCCAGAGAGGAGGAAGGGGGCCAAGCTGTTTTCCATGGCAGCCGAAGGCCAGACAAGGAAGAATGGGTGGAAACCTATCAAGGAGAGATTCAACCTGGAGGAATTTCCTGACAGTGAGAACAATCAACCCATGGAAGAGAAGTTGCCTTCAGAAGTTGTGGGAGCTTCATCCCTGGAGGCTTTCAAGAAGAGACTGGTCAGAAATGGTGTAGGGGGGTTGGACTAGATGACCCACAAGGTCCCTTCCAACTCTGTTAATTATTATGGGCTGCTGCATAGTCAGCCAGATGTTATACTGGCAATGATGAAATTTATTCCCCCCCCCCAATCTGGTTTCCAAAGGAGACGATTCCTGGGGGGACAATGGGGTCCTTCCTGCAGAATCCCCTTCCAAGCTGCCCCCTCCCCCCCTTACCAGCAGCACGATGCTTCCGAAGAAAGAGGCTCTCAGCAAAACCTGCAAATCCTTTGGCACCTGCAACGGGGGGAGGGGGAGGCATAAGATGGGCAAGGCAGCAGCTCCCCCCCTCCCCGCACCTTCCCTGCCAGCCCTCTCTCTCTTGCCCCTCCCCCCAGAGAGACCCCTGCCCAGCGTGGCCTACCTGGTCCCCTGCAAACTCCATGTTCAGGACCCCCGCCCGGTAGTAGGAGAAGAGGGCGGAGTCGAAGAAGTACTCGGAGAGCCCCATGTAGACCATCCGCTCCGTCTCCCTCAGGAGGGGCTCCGGGGCTGTGTTGGGCAGGGTCTCGTTCTCGTTCCGCAGAGGGAAGAACATGCCCTGCCAGCAGCAGCAGCAGAAAAAGACCCCGGGTCACGCCGGGAAAGAGGGGTCCCCTCCCCTCACAGCTGCCCCCTTGGGACAAGGCCGGGCCACGAATACATGCCAGGGGTCGGGATCAGTGTGTGTGTGTGTGTGTGTGTGTGTGTGTGTGTGTGTGTGTATGTTTGCTGTACAGGGAGTCCTCGACTTACAACTTTTCATTTAGTGACCGTTCAAAGTTACAAAGACACTGAAAAAAGGGACTGATGAGCCCCATCACCAGGGGGTCAAAAGTCAAGGGCTTGGCCACTGGCAGGGACCTATGCCGGTTGCCATCTTCTGGCGTCACCTGATCCCCTTTCTGCGACCTTCAACTCAATGGGGGAGGCCAGATTCACTTAACAACCAAGTTACTCACTTATCGCCTGCAGGGATTCACTTAACTCTGGCTAGAAAAGTCACGAGGTCAAGGTTCCCCCTTGCTCGAGTGCGTTAGTCTGCGTGAAAGGGACGAGCACCGTCTCCCGAGGGGCGGCTCTCGCCTCCCTTTCAAAGCCCAAGAGCCAGCACAGCTGTCCGAAGACGTCTCTGTGGTCCTGTGGCTGGCATGACTCAACGCACGGGACGCTCTTCCCTTCCCACCAAAGGTGGCTCCTATTTTTCTACTTGCATTTCTTACGTCCTTTCGAACTGCTNACATGTCTTCCCCTACAACATGATATTGTCTATGTAATAGTATACATGTGATTATATGTTATGAAAATGGAAAATAAAAATATTGTTAACAAAGAAGGTCACAAAAGGGGAAGACGTGACCCCGGAACACTGCGACCGTCATAAATATGAGTCAGTTGCCAAGCGTCTGAATTTTGATCATGTGACCATGGGGTGGTGGTGCTACAACCATCGCAAGAGAGAAAAATGGTCGTAAGGCGAGGAATACCTGCATGGCACAACAAGGGTTGCTGAACTTCATCTCCCAGAATCCTTCACTCTTGGCTATTCCAGCCGCCCCTTCCCCCGTCCTGGCTTAGAGGGGAGAAATCCGAAGGGAGGGGGCTTCTCTCCTGGCTTGGCTGTCCTTTCCCAGACAGGCATGGTGGGGACCCCCTGACCGTTAAGCCCTTTTGCAGTCACCATCCCCAGGCCTCACTTATTCCTTTTTTTTAAAAAAAAATATTATTTTGATATTTTTATTCCAACCCTGTTTTCAAAATCTCCACAGGGGTCAAAGCTGCCCTAGGCTTTCGCAGGACACGGAGGCTTCTGGCACCTTAAAGGTTAACCAGTTTATTGTCCCAGTAATTCTTTGAGGTTCATAGCCAGATTGGGATCCATAAAACTTTCCATCATCATCCACGTTTTAATCTGCAAGATGCCAGAAGACGCCTGATCAAAGTTTAATTAAACTTTCAGAGTTTGATCCTCAGGTGGGGGGGGGGAACCCTGTCAATCCCCAGAGGGGTTCCTGGATCCCCTTTCAGCCCTCTGGACGAAGCCCCTGGACCAGCCCTGCCCTTGCAGTCTCCCCATCAAAGCCCTTCGGGACCCTCGTTCATCTCTGGCTGATGAGCACAGAACTTCCGGCTTCCGTTGTGGTTGTGTTGTTGTGGTGGGTGTCTGGGCGTCCTGGAGGGCTCCCCTTCACAGTTACACCATGGGCCCCAACCCTCTGACTTCCTCTTCCTAACAGGAGTTCGGGAACCAGGACTCCTCCCTCCAGGATGAGCACGTCACCCAGGGAGAGAGAATGCCCGGTGCTGCTGGCTGGGCTCCCTCTCCTGCAATGCACCCTCCTCCCCTCCTCCCCTGGGCTAAGTCAGAATAAGAGAGTTGGAAGGGACCTTGGAGGTCTTCTAGTCCAACTCCCTCCCTCTACTCAAGCAGGAGACCCTGTAACATTTCTCTATTTATTTTGTTTAATTTGTTAAGTGGCTCTCCAGCCCCTTAAAAACCTCCAGGGATGGGGCAAACACAGCTTCTGGTGGCAAGCGGTTCCACTGGTGAATTGTCCTCATTGTCAGGAAGTTTCTCCGTGGTTCCAGGTTGCTTCTGGCACTAGTCAGTTCCACTGGTTAACTGTCCTCACTTAACTCCAGGTTGCTCCCCTCCTTGATTAGTTTCCCTCCATTGTTCCTTGTCCTGCCTTCGGGGGGGGGGGGGCTTCTATGATTCTTCTCTGCCCTCTTCCGAGGGTCTCAACCAGGGACCCCTTTCGGCCTCCCTCCCCCCCAGGACGCTGCTGCCCTGCTGCCCCCCCCCACAGCAACCCCTCAGCCGCCTTGAGGGACCCCTGGAGGAGGGGGCTCCATCTGGGCTGCTCCCCACAGCTTTCAAATGGCTCAGCCCTCTAAAACTCAGGAAGCTCGGCCTGAAAGTCCGGACGGGGGCGGGAGGGAACCCCCCCCCAAAGCCCCAGAGATGCTGGGACCCCCCCCTGGAGAGGAGGGGGGGAGGGAGGGAGGGGGGGTCAGGGTTCTCTCGCTCCTTCCAGGAAGCAGCAGCCGAGCCCAGTGGGGCACAAGAGGCGGGGGGCTCTGGGGTTACACCCTGGGCTGCTGCTCCTCCGGCAAGGGGCGCCAGGGGGTCCCCCAGGGGGGCAGGGGCAGCCCCCGTGAGACCCAGGGAAGGCTTACCTTGGCTGAAGCCGTTGGTCTGGAAGGGGTTGGTGGAGGGGAGCGTGGGCTGGGTGACCGCTGGGCTGGTGAAGGGGTTGGTGCAGGTGGGCGCTGCGCGGGAGAGAAAGAGAGAGAGAGGATGGCATCCCCCTTGAGCCCGAGGGTGCCCGCGCCCCCCTCCCCGCCCCACCACCAAGGAGCCACCTACTTACCCCCAAAGACCGCAGCGGGGCTGGCGGGGGGCAGGACGGGGGCCTGGCCGAGGGCTCCGAAGACGCTGGCAAAGGAAAGGGCAGTTCAGCTCGAGGCACGGCTGCCCCCCCCACAGACAGGCCTTGCTGGGGGGGGGGGCAGCCGAGGAGGGCGAGGACAGCGCTGGCACCAGCCAGAGGGCAGCTACCTGCTTGGCACCGCTCCCATGCGGAAGCCTCCGCCCAGGCTCGGGATGCCCACCCCGGGCTGGCTGGCAGAGGAGGCGGGGAAGGGCCCCGCCTGGGCGACACCTGCAGGGAGAGGAGGAAGGACGAGAGTGGTCAAGGGGGCCCCCCGCTGGCAGGACAGCCCCCAAAGACCCCCAAAGACCCCCAGGATGGGAGATGCCCCCACATCCCACTCCCCAGCCCACCCTTTCTTTCAGCACAAACAGCCCCGGCCCTTCTCTCCTTCCAGGTGCCCCCTGCCACCCAACGGGTGCTAGAATGCCTCCCCCCCCCAGTTAACCTACCCCCCTCCCCTCTGATGAGGCTCCCAGGAACGGCCGAGAAGGCACAGATCCCGACAAATCCAACCGGAATCCACCCGGAAGCATCCGGGACCGCCCCATGGGAGGGTCTCTCCCGGGGCCTGAGTTCGGGTGGGGGGTGGGGGGTTGAGGTTACCTGCAGTGATGGGGTGACTCTGGAAAGGGCTCTGGCTGGAGGCCAAGGGGTCCCCAAAAGTCGCCCCTGCTGGGCCTCCCCCAAAGGCATCGAAGCCGGGGAAGGTGGGGTGAGCCGCTCCTGAGCCTGAGGGCGCAAATGGGGGGGGGGGAGAGCCTTAATCACCCCCAAGGGCTACAGATTCCCCCCCCAAGGCAGGATGGGGCCCATTGTCTCCAAGCACAGAGGCTGCCTGGAGGGTGGAGGAGGGTGGTGTGAGTCGGATGCCATTTCATGCCCCTTCACCTGGTCTCCTTCTTGACTTCCCTGCTGGCCCCCAGATGGAAGCCCTCCCTATGAGACCCCCCCCCCCAGGTCTTCCTCCCCGGTAGCCCCATCAGAGAGGAAGGCTCAGCAGGGAGACCCCCATTCCCACCAGGAGAGGCCCTGCAGCCAGAGGGACTCACCTCCAAAGGCAGAGAAGGCCGGCCTGGGTGGGGGGGCTGCAAAGGGGTCCCCCCCTATGTCTGCCAGGAGGTCTGTGCTGGCCTTCTTGGGCGGCTGGGCGGCCGGTGGGGGCACTTTCTCCGACACCTGCAAGGAAAGGGGTCCCTGGGAAGCAGAAGGCCCCCCCACCCACCCCCCCACCCTCCGGACTGCATAAAGCCAGTGGCTCCCCATTGGGGACGAGGCAGAGTCAGGGTCTATTGGGGGGGGGTCCCTTTTAGCCCTCAAGGGACAAAGGCTGTGGAGCTGAATGCAGGAGGGGAGGTCGGAGGGGGCTTTTAATGGTTGCCCTCCCACAAAGGCTCAAAGGNCCCCCGGCCTCGAGCCCTCCCCGGGACGCGAGTGGGCGCCCCACCTCTCGGCCCGGCTGCAGGTCAGGAGAGGCGCGAGGCGTTGCCCAGGTCCGGCCGACCCCCGGAAGGCCGGAAACCCCCCCCCCACCGCACGCATGGTGCTGGGCGCGTCGGGGGAGCCCAACTGCCTGCCTGGCCCCCCGACGCGCCCCCTGCCCGGCTGGGGGGCTCCGGAGTAGCGGCGAGCATCCCTAAGCAGTGGGGGGGGAGGAAGGGCGGCTTGGACGAGGCGCTTCAGAGGTACCGGCACGGATTAACCGAGTTGGAAGGGACCTTGGAGGTCATCTAGTCCAACCCGCCGCCCTCCTCTGACCGAACCCTCCCACGAGACTCCTGCAACGGAGGCGAAGCCTTTCTCGGGGCCTCCCGAGACTTGGGACGGCGAGTCCGGCCCCACAAGGGAAGCCGCTTGGCGACCCTCGACGACCCTCGCAAGCCCGGCCGTGCCGCACCGGGGACCGCCAGGCGCCTCGGCACCAACGGCTCGGCTGCCCGGATTGGCGGTTTGCAGAGCCACGGGATATTTTGTGGGGGGGGGGGATAAGAAGCCAGAAAGGACGACGGGCGCCCCCCCTCCCCGTGGCAGGACCGTCCCCAGCGCAGCCCCCGCCGGGGCCCCTCCTTGCCCCACAGACGCCCACCGACTCCTCCCGCCGTGCAAACGGGGCGCGGGGGGGGTCCGGGAAAGGGGTCGCCTGGCTGTGCTTTGGGCCACCCGGAGGGCCGCGGGGCTTTTGGATTTCCCCCTCCCGGGCTTAATGGGGACCAGAAGGCGCCGCAGCCCGGGCCGCGTGGGCGTGTGCGTGTGTGTGTGGCTGTGGCGTGTCTGTCGGAGCCGCGCTTGGGCGTTGCCGCTGCCGGCCAATCAGCGGCGGCCCCGGTTCTCCGGCCAGCTGAAGCCAAGCGGCGGCCAATCGGGAGCGGCCTCTCCCGACCCCTCCCTCCCCCCCTGGGAAGCCCAGCAGCTTCTCTCGGCTGGGAGAGTGGCTGCTTTGATGGCAGAACACCAACCCCGCGGGGTAGGCCTCTGGCCGGCTCCCCCCCCCCCCGGGAGCTTCCCTGCCTGGGGATGGCCTGCCTTCCGTGTTCCCAAGAGAGGTTGGGTGGGTCTGGAAAGGCTTTCAATCCATCCAGNGCCGCTGCTGCCGACGCTGCTGGTGCTGCTGGGCGCCGCCGCCGCCGCCTGGTCCGGCCCGGCGTCGTCCAAGTTCGCCATCGACTTCCTGCCGGGGCTGCGCAAACAGGCGTCCTTCGAGCAGTACACGGGGTTCCTGAGCGTGGACGGCGACAAGCACCTGCACTACTGGTAGGCTGGCGGCCGGCGGGGCGGGTGGCGGGACGGGACGCCCCCCCTCCGACCGCCGCTTCCTCTCCGCAGGTTCGTGGAGGCGCAGGAGGCGGACGGGGAGACGCCGCTGGTGCTCTGGCTGAACGGGGGTCCCGGCTGCAGCTCCATCGCCGGCCTCTTGACCGAGCACGGGCCTTTCAGGGTCAGTAGCCCCCCCCCCTCGCCTGGGGCCCCTGTGGGGGTGGGAGGCAGGCCGTGGGCCCCGTGCCCCTGGGGCAGCTTCCCTCCAGCTGTGCTGGGGGCCCTTGTGGCTCTGGCATTTGTGAGGTCACACCCACCCCTGCAGCTGCTGCCTCCCTTGGGGGGGGGGGCTCTTGTGCCTTTCCAAGCTGCCCTGGGGGCAGAGAGGCTGTGGGCATCCCGGGGTCTCCACTGAGGAGGGTCCCTTCTTCCCCTTCAGGTCCAGCCAGACGGGGCCACCTTGACCTACAATGAATATGCCTGGAATAAGGTGACCCCCCCACCCCCGCCCTGAAAGCTTGGCTGGAGCATCTCCTGCCCACCCCCACTCAGAGGGCAGGAGAGGCAGGGGGGCAAGATAGCACCTCCCCCCCCCCCCATGGAGCCTCACTCCTCCTCCTCTCCCTCCAGCTCGCTCACATCCTCTACCTGGAGTCCCCCGTTGGCGTCGGCTACTCCTACTCGGACAGCCAAGACTACCACACCAACGACACAGAGGTGGGTGCTGACCCTTGGCCCCTGCCCCCCCCCGTGCCCTGCCCAGCCAGCTGGTGCCTGGCACGTGTCCCCTCTCTCTCCCCCCCCGCAGGTGGCCCGCGTCAACTACCTGGCCTTGAAAGAGTTCTTCAAGCTCTTCCCCGAGCACCTGCCCAAGGACCTTTACCTGGCGGGAGAAAGCTATGGCGGCATCTACATCCCAACCCTGGCAGAGTGGGTCATGCAGGACGCCAGCCTCAACCTGAAGGTGGGTGTGTCGTTAGGGCCCTGTGGCCCCGGAGCAGACTCCCGGGAGCCTGGCATTAAATGGGCAGGTACAGAAGTGGGTGGGGGCCACAGGGGTGCCCAGGGCATGGCCCCTGGCACTGGACAGCTCTGCAGAAGTGGAGAGTGGCAAAACCGGAATTCCCCCCCCCCTCCACCTCCCTGAGCCTCCCTCCAGCTGCTCTCTTAGGGAAGCAAAACCAGGGCTGGGGGGACAAGCGCCTGCCCGCTTTCCCTGACATCAGGGGAGGGGCAGCACCGGGGGGGGGAGGATCTGACTGCCAACAGCCAGTCAACTCCTCCTGTCTGGGGCATTGGGGGTGGGTGGGAGGGGAATGGGGGTGAGGGGCTGCCGGAGGTCACCGGAGGACGTGCCTTTCAGGGCCTCTCGGTGGGCAACGGGCTCTCCTCCTACGAGACCAACGACAACTCCTTGGTTTACTTCGCCTACTACCACGGCCTCCTGGGGAACCGGTGAGCCTCTGCCCGGGGGGGGGGGGGGGGGGGGATCCTGGGAAGGGGCTCTGGGGCTGCGGCCCCAGGGGGGGCTGATGAAGACCCCCTGCTTCTCCTCCACAGGCTCTGGGGAGACCTGCAGCGCTTCTGCTGCTCTGGGGGGAAGTGCGACTTCCACAAGAACCCCAATTTGAACTGCACGGCTGCCGTGAGTGGGGGGAACCGGCGGGAGGGGGGGAGGGCCATAGGGCAGTGTTTTTCAACCTTGTCAACTTGAAGATGTCTGGACTTCAACTCCCAGAATTCCCCAGCCAGCGAATGCTGGCTGGGGAATTTCTGGGAGTTGAAGTCCGGACATCTTCAAGTGGCCAAGGTTGAGANGTGGCAGCCCCTCAAATACTGCACTGCTGCTTTCACCCCTGGTCCTCCTTTTCATTAAACTAGACCTGCCCACTTCCTGCAACCTCAACATGGGGTCGAACAGCCCCACAGGCCTCCCCTACTTCTAGCCAACCAGCAGCCCCACTGTGGGCTTGCAGGGGGGGGGGCAGGGGGTTTGGGGGGGCAGACTGAGCAATACCTACAGCCGTATTCCACCTGGATGATCCGGACGCTCTTGGTGGAGGCGAAGACGTCAACCACGGCATAGAGGGGTCGGGAGCCGGGCAGCCCCTTGGCGCTGGGCCCCATGTCTTCCCCATTGATGACGATGTGCATGTGGGCCGTCCCGTCCGGCTGCGGCGTGAACAGCACCCCGATGCGGCTCTTGCGGGCCGTGGGCGGCAGCACGTTGGCCTTGTAGAGCTCGTCCAGGATGTGGCTGTAGCGGCCCGGACGGCTCCGGCCCACCAGCCTGTCGCGTGGGATGCGGACCTGCCCGATGGTCAGGTGGGGCCCGCAGAGGGGCCCCAGTCCGCCGGCCGGCGCCTCCTCGCCCACGCGGTTGTGGTGGCGGGTGATGGCGAAGACCCAGCTGTCGCCCAGGTTGACCAGGTCCGGCAGCGAGTACTCGGGCACGGCGGACAGACGGCCGGGGTCGTGGGCGGTCAGCCCCACGCGCAGGTGGCCGCACCAGCCCGCCTCCTTCTCCTCGATCTCCACCAGGAAGAGCTGCCCGGGCTCCAGCGGCCGGTGGCTGAAGCACAGCCCGTGGGCGAAGCTCTCCACGCGGGTGGCCTGCGTGCGGGAGGCGTCCAGGCACACGTGCGCCCCGTGCACCCCGTGGAAGCGCGTGGGGGGGTGGCGTGGGCCCGCCATGGCCGATCCCGGCTGCCCGGCCGGGGCTATTTTAAGGGGCTGCCAGGGGGCGGACGCTCTCCCGGGACGCCCGGCTCCAAATAGGGAGAGCGGCCGGCGGGGGGCCGGGTCCTAGCGCCCGCCGCTCCCGGGGTCAGACCCTCCGCCCCCCCGCCTTCCCAGGTGGGCCAGAGTCCCCCGCCAAGGTGGGCCGGCGAAAGCAGCCGCAACCTCGGCATCCCGCTCTGGCCGGGCATCGCCAGCAGGTGCGGCTCGGGCACTTCCCGACGCTCAGAGCGGATCCGCCCGGGCTCCCCCCTTGCAGCCCCCCTCCCTGTTTTCCTCGGCCAGACCCGCGAGGCAGCCGCCCCCTCGAGAGAGAGAGCGGCCCGCCCGCCATCCCGCGGCGCCTGCGGGGCGCACCGGGGCAGCGGCTNGCCTTTGAATCCCCAAGTGGGCCCCCAGGGGAGCCTGCGTGCCAGGGGGGGCTGGGGGGGAGCTCTGACCTGGGGGGTCTTGGCGCCCATCTTGGCTCCTGCAGGGGAGGCCTGGGCACTGGGGGCCGCCAGGCTTTTGCCCTGGTCAGGAGACACGTACCTGCGAGGAAGACCAGGGGACAGGTGAGCCTTTGGGGGGGGGGGAGGCTGCCTTGACTCTCCCCCTCCTCCTCTTCACCCTCTCGGTGAGTTTATCCCACTTTGCATCCCAGGGGAAGCTCTGTGGGCCACCGGCTTCCATCGAGGGTGGCTCCACGGAGGGAGGCCGGCCACGGGGGGGCTGAACTGATGGGGCCCGACGGGAGGGGTGGGCCGGCAGCCCCAACCGGGAGCCCCTCCCTCCCACCCACCCACCCCCCGTCCTCCTCACCATCGCTTCTTCTCGTATTTCTCCTGCAGGAACTCCTTCACTTTCTGAGGGTCCAGAGAATCCGGCAGCAGAGACGACCGCGAGTCGAAAGACCCCAACCAGATCTTCCGGCAGGCCTTTGGGGGGGGGGGGGATCCGAACGAGGAGAGGAGAGAGCGACACGTTAGATAAGAGAGTCGAGTTCGAAAAAGGCTCCTTTGGGACTCCAGATCAGGTTTTTTAGGAAGCCAATTCCTTTGATAAAAGGGGGGTGGGAGCGACCGAGAAGCAGGAGCCCCCCAGGGACACGGCCTCCCTCCCTCCCTCCCTGGGGGTTCCTTTGGCAAGCCTGCCTTTTAAAAGGCCAGTCTGCCTCCACACCCAGCTGGCTTCAGAGCTTGTAGGCCCACAGAGATCCTGGGCTGGGGGTGGGGGGTGAGCGGAATCAAAGCCTGCACAGAGACCCCCTCCCCCCCCTGTGACCTCCCCCCCCTCCACACTCACTTCGTTTCCCCGGGACTGGAGGAACTGGACCTCGCCCTCCGTGAAGGTGGTCATGGAGATGGACTTCACCCGGTGAGGGGGATTCAGGCCACGGCTACCCGGGGGAGAGAGAAAAGCATTCACAAGTTACAGCAACGGAGAGGGAAGAGAAAAACAGAGCTGGAAGGGACCTTGGAGGTCCTCTAGCCCAGTGTTTCTCAACCTTGGCCACTTGAAGATGTCCGGACTTCAACTCCNACTTCAACTCCCAGAATTCCCCAGCCAGCGAATGCTGGCTGGGGAATTCTGGGAGTTGAAGTCCAGACATCTTCAAGTTGACAAGGTTGAGAAACACTGTCCTAGACACTGAATTGTTTATATGCGAATGCTGGCTGGGGAATTCTGGGAGTTGAAGTCCGGACATCTTCAAGTTGCCAAGGTTGAGAAACATTGATCTGGATTATGACCACGTGACCAACCAGGGGGATGCTGTGATGGTCGTTAAACGGTCATAAGTCCCTTTTTTTTCAGGGACGTTGTGACTGAATGGTCACTAAATGAATCGTTTCCAGTCCAGGACTACCTGAATAAGAAGGGCGGCTACATAACCGTTTTAAGGAGCCACTCACAAGAACCAGTAGAGCAGCTGCCGCCGGAACCGCACCCCGATGGAGCCGTTGTTGATCCGGAAGGCCAGGAATTGCTCCGGCTGGAAACGGAGCTCCGAGAAGTTCAGCTGCAGGTGAGTCACCTTCACGCTGCAGGGAGAGACGGTCAGGTGGGGATGGGGGAGTCCCCTCTCGGGCCAGGCCCCTGCCCCCTACCCTGCCTCCCCCCGCTCTTCCCCTGCTATCGGCGCCCCTGGTGCCAGCCCCCCCCCCTCCCAGGCTCAGCCTGTGTGGGAACCGTGCATCGAGGGCCATGGGGGAGAGGAAGGAGAGGAACATGGGGAGTCTGGGTGGTGCTGGGGGGGCTGGAATGAAAGGGTTTGGAGACCCTGGAAGCCTTTCCTGATTGGCCGCTTCCACAGGTGGCCCTGGGCCAGGTTCCTGCCCTGCCCTGCCCTGCCCAGCCCAGCCCTGCCCAGCCCCGGGCAGGGACAGGCTGATCTCTTCAGTCATGCAACACAACCCATGTGCGTTTTTTTCTTGCATAAGCTGTCAGAGAGCCAGGAGGGTGAACTCCATTGCTCTTCCCTGCCTTATTTGAAGAGCTCCTGCAATCAATCCAGGTTTGATCGGTCCCTGATAAATCCCTGGGAGAAGCCTCCTTATTTTAGGAGGGTGGATATAGACAATTCCATACGCACACGGGCATTCACAAACACACACACACACGCACACACACACACTCCTACGACCGCAGAACCCTTTCCCTGCATGAATGCCTTAACCCAAATTGATCAGCAGCTGCGGCTGCTTCCCCTGGTCCCCTGTGGTGGGAGGTGGGAGACGGGGGGGAGGGGCTGCGCCTCCCTGGGCTGCCATGGCCGAAGTGAATTCTGGCCCGCTGGCTGTCTGGGTCCACCCCCAATGGATCTGCCAGCTCAGGGGCCCAGCAGACCCTGGGGAGCTGCAGGCCAGGCGGGCTGAGGGGGGGGCCGAAGGGCTCTTGGGAGGAGCCAGGTCCTGAGCCCTGCAAGCTGCCAGCCCAGCCGACTCACTTGCTGATGTTGTAGTGGAACTGGGCCTGCTTGCCATGCAGATCGGGAACGGAGATGCTCTCCAGCTCCTGCTCCACGAAGCGCAGACCCTCCTCCTTCACTGCAAGAGACCCCCCCCCACAGGCATCACCCCCAGCGCCTCTGCTGGCAAGGAACCCCCAGCCCAAACCACCAGGGAAGGGAGGCCGTCCCTCTTGCCTGGGTGGGCAATGGGCAGTGCCAGCCAAAACCAGCGGTGGGGGGGGGAATGGGGATCCCTCTGCTGGAGCCAGAAGGGGAGGCATCCCCAAGCCTGGGCTCCCCCCCCCTCTACAGCCCCTCCCCCGCCACTTACCCAGCGCGAGGCCCTTGTCCGTGATCCTCATCTTGCAGGCAGGGGTGTGGGCGGCCCCAGAGGCTGTGCCCAGCCAGGTCAGCAGCAACAGGAGGCAGTGCAGAGGCATGGCGGCTCTTTCCTGCAAGGGGCAAGAGGTCAGTCTCCGAAGGGTCCACAGGGGGCTCCCCTCAGGCTGGCCCAGTCCTGATGGCATCTGGCAAGCACCCCCTGGGACATCTGGGTGGGCAGGTCCACAGGGGAAGGCCCTCTCCCGCTGAGATGGGCAGCAGAATAAGGAGGGAGGAAGAGAGAGAGAAAGATGGGTAGATGGATAGATAGATATAGTTATAGGTAGAGAGATACAGGTAGATAGATGTGAGAGAGAGGGGGGCAGGCAGGCAGGCAGAGCCAAAGGGCGGCAGTGCCGAGCTTCAAAGGGAGACAGTCCTCGGGGCAGGTGAGGCCACAGGTGGGCGTCTCTCTGCTGGGGCTCTGGGGAGACCCTGGCCAGTATTTCCTTTCCACAGCTTTAAGGAGTCGGTGGGTAGAGACCAAGCGAGACAGGCGAAGTATCGCAGCTTGGTGCAGAGAGACGGCCCAGCGCCTGCTTCTCCCAAAGACCTCGCAGCCGGAGCTTCATCCGCTCCGGTCCCCGGACAAAGCAGCTCCGGCTCCAGGCCCCCAGCCCGACTCTCCTCCCCGAAAGGCCGCGGTCACCCGGGAGGACTCAGGACTGGCTCCCTTGGCGCCCGCATCCAGGCGCTGCCCGGCCCGAAGGGAGCTGAGCTGCGCGGGTCCCGTCTGCGGGGAAGGGGAAGGGGGCGGCTGGGACTGGGCCTTCAGTGCGGGGCCGGGAGGGTCCCAGCAGCCGCTTCTGGGAGTTCGGAGCCCGCCCGCCTAAGCGACCCCGCGAGAGGCGCCCGCGGCAGAGGCAGCGCGCCGGCCCAAGTTGCTCCTGCGGGGTCCCGAGTGTGGAAGGCGAGGTTGGCTCCGGCCGGGAGACGCGCTTGACGCGAAGGAGCCGAGCAGGGCAGAGCGGCGGCCGAGGGGGCGGCTTCTCCGGGGCCGGGGCCAGGAATTGGGGCGGGGGCCGCGGGGAAAAGGGGATCCCCCCCCAGCCCGCCCTCCAGAGCCGCCTTCGCCTCGTGCCCACTTGCCGGCATTCCCGCTTTCTCTTCTGCGGACCCTCGCGCTCCGCCAGCCGCCTTTATACTCCCTCCCGGCGGCTTTCCGGAGCCCGCCCCAGCCGGACGGAGGGAGGGAGGGAGGGGAGGGAGAGTCCAGCGGCGCGCGGGGCTTCGTCGCCGCTAGCCGGGATGCCGGGGCTGGGCCGCCTGGGCAAGGGCAGGCAGCCGCGGCGTCTCTCCGCACCCGGGGCGAAGTTGGCGCGAGGAGAACGCGGGAGGCAGCCCCGGGGTTGTGTCGGGCAGGGAGGGAGAAGCCGCCCCCCTCGTGGCCGAGGGGAGCCACGGCCTCGCCCGCCCCCACGGGGGTCCCGGCCTCTGTCCGGGAATGGCGAGGGGGTCGCGGTGGGATTGCTGCCGTCCAGTCCTGTGGCTGGGAAGGGAGGGGCAGACTCTCCCCACAAGCGGGATGCCTCCTGAGCACTGCGGGCAGAGACGGGGCTACCCGTGCGCTGGAGAAGGGAGCAGGGGACTCGGGGAACCCCGTGAAAGGTCCACACTCGTTGCAGAAGGCCTGTTCACCCACAAGGAGGAGAGGAGCTGCCCCCCTCCAGGGTGAGGGGAGCCCAGCCAGGGGGCCAGAAGAGCCTGACCGTCCATGGTGGGCTTCCACCCCCTTCAAGGGGCCCTGCACCCCCTTGGCTACAGGCGTAGAAGGAGCCGCCTTCCTTGATCTCCCCAGGAAATGCGCTCCACATCCTGTCTCCAGAGATCCGCTTTCCTGCAAGAGGGGAGGGTGGGGGGGGGGCTTCTGTGCGGGGAAAACCAGGATGATGCCACCCCCTCCCCACCTGCTAGGAGGCTGTTGTTCTGTTTTGTTAGCCGCTTGGATCCAGTTGCCCTGAGGTGGGAGGGGGGGATTGTAGCCTGAGCCAAGACCTCCGTTTGATGGGGGGAGGATGAAAGCAGAATCAAAGTCTCCCTCCGTCCCCCCCTCCTGGACTCCCCCATCACAACATGGGCGGGGGTGGGAGCCCTGCCAGAGGTCCTCTTCCCTCCCACCCCTTCCTACCTCTACCCTTTTCTAGGCCCAAAGCCCCCCCTTTTAACCTCCGCAATTCTATCAGGGAGGGCAGACGGGGTGGATGGGAGGGGGCTTCATGGCTGAAGTGGGGGGGGGATCTCCATCTGCTTTCTCACTCACCAACTTCCTTCTTCCAAATTCTGCCACTCAGCAGTTCTGGTGGTTTCCTCTTTGTCCCAAGGACACTCCGCAGCCACAGGATACGGGAGACCCAGAGTTTCTCCTGCCCCCCCCCCCCGCCCCAGCACTAAATCACAAAATCTCCAGAGAAACAAAGGGGGGGAAATGGGACAGGGGACTGGACGTGGCTCCCATCCCCCGCAAGGGAATTGAAATCCTGCGTCGGAGGGGCTGGCTGGCAGGAGGCTCCTCGGTTTTCAGAGAGGAGGAAGGGGCCCTTCGGTGACACCAGTCAAGCTGGGTCTTTGGAACCCCCAAACTCCAGGGGGGTCACTTGACTTTCGGAGGAGCAGCTGCTGGGGAGGAAGAGCAGGAGGGAGGATTCCCTTCGCCCTCATTCCCAGCAGCTCTTCAGCCACCCACAGTGGGGGCTACAGGTAGCCCTCGACCTACGGCCACCATTGAGCTCAAAATTTATGTTGCTAAGTGAGAAATTGTTAGGTTTTTCCCCCGTGTGCCCCCTTTCTCACCTCCGTTGCTAAGTGAATCATTGCAGTAATTAGGTGACTAACGTGGTTGTTAAGTGAACCTGGCGTCCCCCATTGACTTTGCTTGTTAGAAGGTCGTGACAGGAGATCATACGACCGTCATAAGTAAGAGTTAGTTGCCAAGTGCCTGAAGTTTGATCATTTTGATGCAGGAGGGGTTGCACAGGTAAACCCACCAGTGGCTGACCAGGTTAGGTGGTCTTAATAGAATGGACCTTATAAATTCATATTAGCTTGGCTTTTCATTCTAGTGCCCTGGAGTTCCAAAGTTGACTTTTAGCTGGAGTGAACTTTCTCTCCAACTTCCTCATTAAGTATTAAAAATAGGGCTGAACAGGCAAGACCCTGTAAAGGAGGGGCACAGGAAGCTAGGCGTGGATGTCAGATAGAACAGAGGTAAAACAGCTGACAGCTTAAGACATTATAGGAACCTCTCTTTTTTGTATTTTTCCAATGTACTTCGCTGTAACATTCCACAGTGAACTTCTCCTTTTTGAAATGTCATGTTTGCCTCATGTTGACTTGACTTGAGAAGGCACCGTGTGGAACACGGCATAAAAGTAGCATCCTGGGCAGAGCCCAGGCAGTTCAGATTTTGAACTCGCTGAACTCGATGCATCAAATAAACCTGTTTCTCTCGCACCTTCGTGGTCTCGAGTCCTGATCTTTCGTAAGTAGATTGCAAACCTCAAATCTGCTGCAACATTTTGACCGTGGGGATGCTCCAATGGTCGTT